AGGACATGTTTCAGTACTAAATGCAGCTTTGGACAGAAAACATTGCATATTTCGAATGTAATTTGGATATCCAGCACAATTAGAGAAGGATGGCATGTCTTGGACTGAATTAGCATACAGACAGAATAACCATTAGGAGCCAAATTGCCAACTCCTTTGCTATAAAGATCTCTCATTCTGCGGTTTTTAAAGTATTTGGTAGCTTATCCACAAAATTAAAACTGCTGTGGTTTATTTATGCATTTTATTCTAATAGATCATCAAAAGAGCTTGATTCCAATCAGCTAAAATCACTAACAGAGGTGAAAGAATTGGAGTTGTGATTGATTTATAGCTCTGAGAAGTCGGGCTTGTTGTGCTTGTGCGTGTGTCGAGGTAGTGTCCATGGTAATTTTTTGATGAGCAACTCTGCTGTCAGAATATTCTTCTGAAGATCCACATCACCAGACTACAGCTAACAGAGAAATTGGACAGTGTGACTCCACTGCTGTGCTGTACCATGAAAGCAAATTTTCATTTTTTAGGAGGGGCAACCTCAAGCTTGGCTAAGGAGAAGTATATGGAGAGGGGTGCAGTTTATACGGTTAAAGGCAAAGCTATCAACAACAATGCATGAGGAAGAATGCTCCTCAGACTCATCCTTCTGTATAACAGTTAAGAAGGAGACTGCTAGCAGTTATAAAGATGAGGAGGGCAAAGCCAAGAAGTGACTGAAACATGATCTTATGTAAAATCCAAAGAAAATGACCTGAAAAACACACTACAGTGCAAGCTTCCCCTACATTAAAATGTTTGAGAATACTATCATGAAAGGCTTATTGTATCTTCCTCCTTCATACTTACGGCTCAATAGAGATTTCAGGGTTGGCCAAAAACAAGCTGCAGATATTGTCAAAAGATGCAACCATAACATATAACATGAAGGACACTAATTTTTCTTCTGCCCAAGATGAAATTCTATTTTCACTGTACTCCATGGGGCAAAACAGTTGACAATAGACTGACTCAAAGTTGCATTTGTCAAAAGAAGTGGTTAAAAGGCCTGCAGGCCATTTACAGTGGTTAATTAAAATCAATGTTTTGGGGTCAGTTACACTTACAGTGCCATGAGCTATTTTGGAACACTTCAGATATGGCATATTGAGCAAACTTGATTTACAAGAAAAAGTCTGAAATATTCAAGCAACCACAAGAGGTAAAACCTTTTTAAACTGTTTTAGCCACAAGAGTTACTAACGAATAAAATCAAAATACTGTGGATACCAGAGGTTTGAAACAAAGACAGAGAATGTGGTCAAAATATTCTTCTGAACAGAGTCATACTAGACTCTAATACAAACTCTCCACAGATGCTGCCAGGCCACAGCATTCGCTGTGCTGTTCTTGACACTGATGAATTGTCTGGTTTAGAGTACAATGAACTTTTCACGGAATATTTACAGCATATATAGCCAAAACATGAAATCACTTGGAATTATCACATGGAAAAATGATTTTAGATTATAATTGTACTGTATAGGCAATGTTGTCCAGAGGCTTTTCAGCACACTGGTACCAGTAAAATAATGGACATTAACACTGTCAACTAATGAAGTTTAATGATGCCACATCCTTTTTCATGGTTAGCACTGCTGCCTCACAGCGTCACGGACCCAAGTTCGATTCCACCCACGGGTGACTGTCTGTGTAGAGTTTGCACGTTCTCCTGGGGTGCTCCAGTTTCCTCCCACAGTCCAAAGATGTGCAGTGTAGGTGGATTGCCCATATAAATTGCCCATAGTGTGCAGGGACGTTCACGTTAGGTGGGTTAGACATGGAAAATGCAGGAGTAGGGGAATGGGTCTGGGTGGGATCGTCTTCAAAGAACAAAGAAAATTACAGACAGGAACAGGCCCTTCAGCCCTTCAAGCCCGCGCCGATCCAGATCCTCTATCTAAATCCGTCGCCTATTTTCCAAGGATCTGTATCCCTCTGCTCCCTGCCCATTCATGTATCTGTCTAGATACATCTTAAATGACGCTATCGTGCCCGCCTCTACCACCTCCGCTGGCAACGCGTTCCAGGCACCCACCACCATCTGTGTAAAGAACTTCCCACGCATATCTCCCTTAAACCTTTCCCCTCTCACCTTGAAATCGTGACCCCTAGTAATTGAGTCCCCCACTCTGGGGAAAAAGCTTCTTGCTATCCACCCTGTCTATACCTCTCATGATTTTGTAGACCTCAATCAGGTCCCCCCATCAACCTCCGTCTTTCTAATGTAAATAATCCTAATCTACTCAACCTCTCTTCATAGCTAGCGCCCTCCATACCAGGCAACATCCTGGTGAACCTCCTCTACACCCTCTCCAAAGCATCCACATCCTTTTGGTAATGTGGCGACCAGAACTGTACGCAGTATTCCAAACGTGGTCGAGCCAAAGTCCTATACAACTGTAACATGACCTGCCAACTCTTGTACTCAATACCCCATCCGATGAATGAAAGCATGCCGTACGTCCTCTTGACCACTCTATCCACCTGCGTTGCCACCTTCAGGGTACAATGGACCTGAACACCCAGATCTCTCTGTGCATCAATTTTTCCCAGGGCATTTCCATTTACCGTATAGTTCGCTCTTGAATTGGATCTTCCAAAATGCATCACCTCGCATTTGCCGGGATTGAACTCCATCTGCCATTTCTCCGCCCAACTCTCCAATCTATCTATATTCTGCTGCATTCTCCGACAGTCCCCTTCACTAACCGCTACTCCACCAATCTTAGAGTAATCTGCGAACTTGCTAATCAGACCATCTATACCTTCCTCCAGATCATTTAATGTATATCACAAACAACAGTGGTCCCAACACGGATCCCTGTGGAACACCACTGGTCACAGTTCTCCATTTTGAAAAACTCCCTTCCACTACAACCCCCTGTCTCCTGTTGCCCAGCCAGTTCTCTATCCATCTAGCTAGTACACCCTGGACCCCATGCGACTTCACTTTCTCCATCAGCCTACCATGGGGAACCTTATCAAACGCCTTACTGAAATCCATGTATATGACATCTACAGCCCTTCCCTCATCTATCAACTTTGTCACTTCCTCAAAGAATTCTATCAAGTTGGTAAGACATGACCTTCCCTGCACAAAACCATGCTGCCTATCACTAATAAGCCCATTTTCTTCCAAATGTAAATAGATCCTATCCCTCAGTATCTTCTCCAGCAGCTTCCCCACCACTGACGTCAGGCTCACCGGTCTATAATTACCTGGATTATCCTTGCTACCCTTCTTAAACAAGGGGACAACATTAGCAATTCTCCAGTCCTCCGGGACCTCACCCGTGATCAAGGATGCTGCAAAGATATCTGTTAAGGCCCCAGCTATTTCATCTCTCGCGTCCCTCAGTAACCTGGGATAGATCCCATCTGGACCTCGGGACTTGTCCACCCTAATGCCTTTTAGAATACCCAACACTTCCCCCCTCCTTATGCCGACTTAACCTAGAGTAATCAAACATCTATCCTTAACCTCAACATCCGTCATGTCCCTCTCCTGAATACCGACGCAAAGTACTCATTAAAAATCTCACTCATTTTCTCTGACTCCTCGCATAACTTCCCTCCTTTGTCCTGGAGTGGGCCAACCCTTTCTCTGGTTACCCTCTTGCTCCTTATGTACGAATAAAAGGCTTTGGGATTTTCCTTAACCCTGTTTGCTAAAGATATTTCATGACCCCTTTTAGCCCTCTTAATTCCTCGTTTCAGATTGGTCCTATTTTCCCCATATTGTTCCGAAGCTTCCTCTGTTTTCAGTCGCCTAGACCTTATGTATGCTTCCTTTTTCCTTTGCTAGTCTCTCAATTTCACCTGTCATCCATGGTTCCCTAATCTTGCCCTATCTATCCCTCATTTTCACAGGGACATGTGTGTCCTGCTCTCTAATCAACCTCTTTTTAAAAGCCTCCTACATATCAAATGTGGATTTACCCTCAAACAGCTGCTCCCAATCCACATTCCTCAGCTCCTGTCCAATCTTGCTATACTTGGCCCTTCCCCAATTTAGCACTCTTCTTTTAGGACCACTCTCGTCTTTGTCCATGAGTATTCTCAACTTACGGAATTGTGATCACTATTCCCAAAGTAATCCCCTACTGAAATTTCAACCACCTGGCCGGGCTCATTCCCCAACACCAGGTCCAGTATGGACTTGTTGGGTTGAATGGCCTGTTTCCACACTGTAGGGACTCTATGACTCTATAATATACTTTGGATGTAATATTACTTGCTCTCACTGCGAGTGATCTGTTAACAACACGACTGTAGTAGTACGTGACAGCTCAAAATGGCCACTACTTAATATATAACATGGAATACTGAAGTTGACACCCAACATTAGGCTTCATTGAAAACTCAGCAGTTAACATGAAGGACATGACAAAATTCCACAGGAAGAACAAGCTTTGTAAGAGAGTGTATCAAATGAAACTTTCAAACCACTTTTAATAGTGTCAAGTGTATATATAAAGCATTCACACACAGAATTATGGCATTCTGGTGACTTCCAAGCTTCTGCACTGCTATGAGAAGATGCAAAATGGAATCCCACATATTAATTACAAAGGGAATGCTTACTCCTAGGTTTCTCCTGCCCATCAGTTTGAAGCGGTCTTGGTTCAGTCCTAGAATGAAATCCCTTTTTGTGATCAGTGTGGAACACGGGTGGAAGAAAAGACAGGGTGCAGTATCTTGAGAAGAAGCTAACTGCAAAACTTATCACTTTTAATACAACATGGTGCTGAGCTGGAGAGTTTTACGCGTAGATTTTAAAGTATCAATACTGTTCACTGGTGTGAACCATTTTTTATTACTAACTGGGATATATTATTTTAAATGTTACTCTTACTTTCAATTATTTTGGTATGAAAGGGGACAGTGGCATCTTGAACATTTGATTAAATAATATTATGAGTAGTTGTACATAATATTTGTCAAAATAACCTTATTACCCTTACCTTGTCTCTGGGTTATAGCCTAGTATATAAAAAAATTGGTCCGGTCGTGGCTTAAACTCTCTGGCAGCAAATATGTCAGAAAAATGTATAATATTGCATTTCCCTCTGCAAGGAAAAAAAAAATCATTGATGTTACCACAAAATATTTGAAAACCAATTCACATTTCAATCTTTGTAGTTTTATTCAAACAAACCATCACATTAATTTCTCAAACTTGCCTGAGTGCTGCTGCATGGTAGGTGTCTACATAATCCGAAATGAAGAGTTCCCGACTCCTAATTACTGGGTCTGTGATCACAAGCTCACGGCCAGAATCTACAGGAAATGTAATTATTATGTCCATGAATGATTTCCACTTACTTATTTATTTTGAATATTCAGATGGAGGATAAATGTTAAAAATGCTAATATAATTGAACACGAGAAAAATCAATAGAACTATCTAAGTTGAAGATTTGTGACAATTTTATGACAGATGGAAGTAATTTGAAAATAAAGAACTTCGTCAAAGAAAAACACAATAACAAAGTCCAATCAGAAGTGATTATGACGTGGTAGCTTTGAGCCTGAATGAAATCTGTGCTGGAATTCTTCCAGCCACAATATTTTACTATCTCTGTCCCTTATAAATGTCCACTTACAATTTTATGTGGCAATTTTGTCACATTTTTTCCCCAATGTGTCATCATTAACTCTACTCTTTTTGCTCTAAGTAGCTCACAAATACTACTGATTCTGAGCAAATTTAATTCTTTACTAAACCTCAATTTTCCATACCTATTTGATTGAAAAAGACAAAATTATCCAATTAGACTTTGAAGTTAGGCAACCATAATTATGCTAAATTTGCATTTAAAATGTTCAACATGGTGCTAAAATATATTATTTTGAAGGATTAAAAACTCTTCTCATCAAATATTCCCTTGGTATTAATGTTCAATTTTAAAAATATCATTTACGAGATCATCCTATGATCACAACGAAATGTATCTGACTTCTTGTTTTAAAAAATGGAGCTCCATTCCCAGCAAATATTTCACACTTCCCAATCTCACTTTCCATTCCCTCAATATTGTCCTTGCAATTAATCAATTGGAGGCAAATAATGTTGCCCTCTACATGATAATCTTAGCCAAGACTGATCTTCATTCAGAGTCAGCTTTTACAGTCCGTACTTAAACTGGCCTTCATTTATATTGTTAAGTAAAACGTTAACAACTTGAGAGGCACAATTTCTTCTTTTTGTGCGCATCTCACCATGTGAGGTTGAGTTCTAACAATTTTATTCCCTCAATATGGGAAGTAGAATTAATGGTATGCAGAACAAAATGGTGACAGTAGCAAATCCAGCCACAATATCATCTAGTATCTAAATTAGCCCAGTCACAAAACCTACTTGAGACAATGGCTGTAGTTCAAGCCAAGACTGTACCCCAAACCTAATTGGCATAACAGGTTGATAAAGATGATAAGGAAGGAGAGTTACCACAGCAAGTATATAACTCCTTTCCAACCCAGTATTTAAGAAGTGCAAAAAATATTGAATTCATCACTGTATCTAATAATTTGGAATGAACTATAGCAGAAGAGAGAAGTAAAAGTCAGGGAAAATCTGTGCAATGGTGACTGTAATATGTTTGACGGTGACAAATGAAAAGGACATAAAGCATGATAAAAGATCAGCATACAAGTCTGGAGAATGAAAGTTTTGAGAAGTTCATGTACTAGATCCTGGAAAAATGGTCAATACTGGCAAAAAATGATAATGAACAGCAATAGAAAACATTTAAAATAATATTCAAGAGTCCAGAAAAAACACTAATAAAGTAAACCGTCAACATGGTGAATGAAGATATAAGGAAGCAATTGAGTGTAAGGATAAATAATGACTTGAGAAGGTGAAGTGAAACCATGAAATAAAATTGTCAAAAAACACGCAATATATGACCCAAAATTGGTGGTGCAACAGACAGTGAAGATCGTTATCTCAGAGTACAACGGAACCTTGATCGGATGGGCCAATGGGTTGAGGAGTGGCAGATGGAGTTTAATTTAGATAAATGTGAGGTGTTGCATTTTCATAAGGCAAATCTGGGGAGGACTTGTACAGTTAATGGTAGGGCCTTGGGGAGTGCTGCCAAACAAAGAGACCTAGAGGTGCGGGTTCATAATTCCTTGAAAGTGGAGTCGCAGGTAAACGGTAGTGATGGAGGCATTTGGTACGCTTGCCTTCATTGGTCAGCGCATTGAGTATAGGAGTTTGGACATCATGTTGCAGCTGTACAGAATATTGGAGAGGCCACTTTTAGAATACTGCCTTCAATTCTGGCCTCCCTGCTATAGGAAAGATGTTGTGAAACTTTAAAGGGCGCAGAAAAGATCTACAAGGATATTGCTGAGATTGGGGGAGTTTGAGCTACAGGAGGAAGCCAAATAGGCTGGGGCTTATTTCCTTGGAGTGTTGGAGGCTGAGGGGTGACCTTATAGAGGTTTATAAAATCATGAGGGGCATAGATAGGGTAAATAGACAAGGTCTTTTTCCTAGGGTAGGTGAGTCCAAAACTAGAGGGCATAGGTTTAAGGTGAGAAGGGAAAGATTTAAGAAGGACCTGATGGGCTACTTTTCACGCAGAGGGTGGTGTATATGGAATGAGCTGCCAGAGGTGGTGGCAGCAGTGGGTACAATGACAACATTTAAAAGGCATCTGGATGGGTATATGAATAGGAAGGGTTTCGAGGGCTATGGGCTAAATGCTGGCAAGTGGGACTCGATCAGTTTAGGATATCCGATTGGCATGGACGAGTTGGACCAAAGGGTCTGTTTTCATGCTGTATAAATCTGAGAATAACTGATTTGTTATAGTGGCTGCATTAATACACGCTGAAAATTTTTTTAATGAAGTTGAGATGGAGAAAAAGCCCACTAAGGGACAGACAGGCTAAAGTCACAAGTCGTGATAACAAAATGACCAAAATTTACAACAAGTACTTCGTTTCAGTGCATTCCAGGGAGACAGATCAGGTGAACATAGCATTACAGGATGATATTAGAAATGATATAACCTCATTTAGAATAAAACGATGAGAAATATTAAATAATTAAATTCACACCAGATAAATGTCCTAGGCTGATGGAAATACGTCCACACATTTTAAAAGAATATCGAAACGACATCAGAGGCACAAATAGGTCATTTGAAAAAGCAGAGCCAGAAAACTGATAGGCAGTTAATGTCACAACTCTGTACAAAGGAGGATAGCTTGGACAGAGGGTCTGTAGACTGGTCGGCTTAACTTCAGAGTAAAAAGAGCAAAAAATAGAGGTAAAGAGTAACCATTCAGGGTAGCAGTTGGTTAAAATGGGGGTGTGTCACAAGAGTCACTTCTGGCACCACAATTGTTCACAAGTCACATTAACAATTTGAACTTGTGGAATGAAAACCATAATTTCCAAATTCATGGATGGCACCAATTGAAGAGTCGGGTCATTAATAAACTTGCAAGATGGGCACATAATTGGAAAATAAATTTAAGGAAAATATAAGGTCTCACAAATTGGTAAGAAATACAAGGATGTCACATGACTTGGAAAATAAGTTATACGAGATTGAAGATCAAAGGGATCTGGGAGAAAAAATGCACATATCACTCAAAGTAGGTTATCAAGGCCATAAAAACAAACCAAGTTCCAGAGTTTATTTCTAGAGGGATTGAATTGGAAAAGAGAAGTTATGCTAAACTCATGTTGAACTTTGATTGGACTGAAGGAAAGAGAGGCACTTGAGGGGGTAAAAATGGATTTACAGGGTTGATACCAGAAATAATATATCAGAAAATAATGAACTGTGGCTTTTTAAAGAGAATAGGTGATTGGTGGGATGACCTGAAACATTAAATATATGAAAAGTTTTGCTACAGTATTTGCATTTGTGGGGAAGTATAGAACCTGTGGTCATCAATCTAGAATAACAAACAAGAAATCAAATAGAACATTCAAAAAGGAAGCTCTTTACAGAGCGAGAGAGAGAGAGAGAGGGAGAGAGAGGGAGGAATGTGGCACTTGCTATCAAAATGACAGATTGAGGCAAATAATACAAAGGCATTTAAAATGAGACTAGATAAGCTAATGAGATAAAATGGAACTTAGGTTTATGCTGATGAGGAAAGATAGAAGGAAGCTCGAGTGGAACATAAATGCTCATAGGAAATTGTTGTGTGGGGGATTCCAAATCTATGTTTAATTGAAGAGTTTACAATGTAATTGCTGGATATCCCTACCTAACCTAATCTTTAAACACCTGAATTCATAAATGCAAAGCTCACTAGAATTTTCTTTCAAAGCTCCTGATGTTTCAAATTTATTGAAGTTACTTTGAAAACATTTTGCTGCTACCAGCATTATGATTTCCAAAAAGTACAACAGACCTCTTTCGGTTGGTGACATTGGTGATGAACTCAACTGCTTCTCATGAAACACTGAGAACTATAGGTTACCAAGTTTGAACTACCTGCTTTGTAAATAAGAATTATGATATCACAATTACAGGTTTATCTGATAGAAACTGATCTGTATTCAGAGGAAGTATGTAGTCCTTCAGATATAAGGGGACAAATAATAGTTCTCAAGATATTAAATGGTCTGCAAAAATGGAACCCACTAAACATGCTGAGTGTCTGAGTTGACTATTGAGAGAAGACCCCGCTAATTTATGTTTTAAAGCTAAATTCTTTGCCATCTAACTTCAAACTATTAACAATGGTTACCTTATAACCATTTCTAAATTTCATTTTCAGACGTATCTGATTAATACCGTCAACATGAGTTTCTTTTTGTATATAGCATAACGCTTAAACCCTGGCTACCCATGCTAATCAGAAATAGTTAATTTCAGACCAGTAGTGTTTTATGGTTGAAATTATTTTCTACAGATGGACATTACCCAGATTTCCACTGCACCACTTAAGCAAGATGCTTTTTCGTTCATTCATACATCATATTTTACACTACAATTAACAAAATTAAAGTGCAGACGTTTAGTGAATAATTTACCATTGCTGATCTAAGGACAAAATATCCAAATCTACAAGATTCTATTTGTTATTTGGGGCCTATATATGTCACATTGATTAAGAAAGCATAAATATATTTATCTTTAGGCATGGCATTCTTCATTTCTCTATTGAAGTCTCTTCCAAATAAAATGGTACAATTAAACATCCACCTTGGATAAATTACCGAAGACCCAGCCTTTCAAGGGATTTTCTTCCTGAAGTGTGCAATTTGCCCTCTATCTCCTTGAGTAAAATAATTTTCG